TCGATTAAAGTGCACCTACACCCAAAAAATTTTTTTCGCTTAACGAAGTAAGCTTATTTTTTTGAGTATTTCTGCGCAAAAATTTTTTTATTTGCTCAAATCTTCAATTTTCTATGCCCAGTCAAAATACGGAAAATCGGCCGCCATCTTGCCCCACGACCGAGTTTAAAGAAGAATGGCTCTAGCGGGTAATGTGACGTCAAATCGAGAACACGAAAGTCTGCATCTCACACATTTTCACTTGTTTGGGAAGATTGTCGTCGATATTGTCCGAAATATGCCGACTAGGTGTGTTGTATGAAGAATGTATGAAGCGCGATACCCTCTTGCAAATTTCGCACGTTGCTACATCCTTCTACAACACACTTAGTCGGCATATTTTCGGACAATTATCGACTACAACCTTCCCAAACAAGTGAAAATGTGTGAAATGCAGACTTTCGTGTTCTCGATTTGACGTCACATTACCCACTAGAGCCATTCCTCTTTAAACTCGGTCGTGGGGCAAGATGGCGGCCGATTTTCCGTATTTTGACTGGGCATAGAAAATTGAAGATTTGAGCAAATAAAAAAATTTTTGCGCAGAAATACTCAAAAAAATAAGCTTACTTCGTTAAGCGAAAAAAATTTTTTGGCTGTAGGTGCACTTTAAACAAGTGGTCCCGCATTCAAGCTTTCCTGAAGGCGAACAATGATAAATTGATATGGCCGTTAAACTAGTGCATCCGAAGTCTTGCGCTCACGAAGTCGAAGAATGATATAACGAGAGGGCCGTTAAACTAGTGCTCCCGTAATTCTGCGCTTTTGAAGTCGAAGAATAATTAAAGAAAAGGTGAAGTTCACCAAGTGTTGACGCAGTCCGCGCTTACTGTATTTCGTTTTCTCGACCGAGGGATATTTTATTGCTATACATGAATTCCATTTTTAATCTCGCTTAAAGAACGAGGTAAGAATGAAATCTACAAGAATTGTGAGCTCATCTTCCCAGTGTAATGGCTATCCCTCGTGAGGACTTTATTGCTATGATCTGTCGGGATTAGAAAGGTCGTCAGGGAATAGACCCTTTCAAGGTTAACGCCGCCATTTTGCCGGGGGGTGCAAAACTGCTGGGGCGAACGCAAAATGTACAGTGAATGTATGGGAAAAGTTGAGAAATGATGCTCGATAATTTGAGGAAGGTTGATATCGTGCAATTTCTATGAATTACAAACTAAAGATACCAGACCTACCAGTTTACCGATCAAATTTGAGAAATGAAGTCTCCCAAAAAAAGCCGCAAACTAAGATTTTGATTTTCCATATACTCTTCTCTAAATCCAAACCGCCGTTTCCGGGAAAATTTAAAAGCATTTGTATGAAAAACTAAAAATAAGATTTCTCACTTCTCAGTGAGCCTCAACCCTTCACGTTTAATCGGCAACATCTTTTGCTAGGTATCTTTACTTCGTAATTCATAGAAATTGCAGAATGTCAACCTTCCTCAAATTATCACTGTACATTTTGCGCTCGCCCCAGCAGTTTTGCACCCCCCGGCAAAAGGGCGGCGTTAACCTTGAAAGGGTCTATTTTTTCAGTCTACCAATAGCAAGTTAAAACGTGCATGTTTTGTGTACCGCTCCTTCACCAATAACTCACACATATATTTTGGTGTACTTATTGACAGGCCTTACCTGGAAACCGTCATATCAGTCATATTGCATAAAGTAAAGGCATAGGCATAATTTGTAGACTAAGGCATCTCGTACCATATTCGATATTACTAAATATATATAGATCACTCATTTATCCTTATTTATCATATGGCCTTGTAGCTTGGGGCCAAGCAGCTAAGTCTCATATGGAAAAAATATTGATACTCCAGAAAAGGGTTGTGCCATTAATGAACTTTGCCAACTATAATTCACATGCCATTCCTTATTTTATATCGGCTAATATTACGCCGATTAATATGCTTTGCGTTGAACTCTCTTCTCTCTTAATGCATGATGTCCATAACAATTTAATCCCGCCTAATCTTTCTGGTTTGTTCACTCTTTCCCACCAAATACACAATCATAATACCCGATCTTCATCTGCCGGTAACTATTACATAAACTGTTCTAGGCTAAATCAACATAAAAACTCATTCTCAAGGATTGGTTGTAAAATTTGCAATAGCATCCCAGGAAAGTTAAGGCCGGAATCTTCCAAAACATATTTTCAAGAAAAAGATAACAACAATATTATTTCAAAATCTTCAAGTTCAGGATAGTTATGTTGACGTAGAACGAAACATAGGCATGCTACGCATGTAGGAGTTATTTTTTTCGATATGTGGGTTCAAATGAGACACTTAGTAACTGATACTGGTGTCTGAATAATTGTTGGCAATAATAACCTACATTGACACCACGCTTCCTGCAGTCCACAGCCCCAATTTGAACTCGTTACGCAACGCTCTCTCTCCAACGTTGCGTGAGGAGACCAAACAACGACCTGCTCAACAACAACAACAGCAACAAGAAGTTTATTTGTTAAGGCAGGTTACTAAAATAGGCAAGACCATAAGTCCTGATGTGGACCTGCACACTAAATTAACATTATAATCACAATTGCACAATTTAAAATCTATAAATATAAAAATACAAGGATGCAAGGTGTGTAAACATTAAAGCTATTACTATAAACCTATCTGAAAATATAAATATAAAAGTTGTTAAGTAAGCTATGATGTATGCTTAAAAATAGAAAAAAATCATCATCTCTATTTTCTATCATGGATGATTCTTTGGTATACGATATTTTCATCAAAATGTCCTTATTTTTATTCAATTCTTTCAGAAAACTCGGAATAGAGGGAGCTTCCTTAATGTGATCTGGAAGAGAATTCCAAGCTATACTGCCCTATGCTTAAAAGATAGTCTTCCCATTTCCGTTTTTGGTTTAGTGATATTTATATTTAAAATCTTTATTAGATTTTATGTGTGTTCCTGCTTCGAAACTAAGTATTAAGGTAGTCATTAGAGAGACCATAATATGATTTATAAGTTATGGATAGTACCCTTTTCGTGTAAAAATATGAAATAGGGGATCATCCCCTCAGCTTACACATGTCTTCCATATTGATGTCCCTAGGCAGATTATGGATTAACCTTGGAGCTCGCAGGTGGACACGCTCCATTTTTTCCATCAAGACCGGTGAGCATGAGCTTCATACAGCAATCCCATACAAGACAGATGGAATAATAGTCTTGAAATAAATAGACTCTAGAATAGACTTAGGTAGGAATTTTATACGTTTTAATATAGCGAGTTTCTTGTTAAACGTTTTACAGACAGCCATGATATGTTCTTTCCATGATAAGTTTTGATCGATGGTAAGACCGAGACATTGAGATGATGACTTAAACTTGATGACACTCTGGCCATATTTCAATAGTAGCAAGGGACCAATAAAATCAAGTGTCGACAACAATAAAGCCTCAGATTTTGTCTCATGGGCAGTCAACCTGTTTGAGTTGCACAAGGAAAAGACTTGATCCAGAATTGACTGTAAAACCACTATAATACTATCTATATCCTTACCAATAGTGAAGATAGAGGTATCGTCGGCAAACATAAATAGGTCCCCATCAGTAACAGCCTCCCGAAAGTCGTTTGCATAAATTGAAAATAGTCTTGGACCCAATATAGATCCTTGTGGAACATATTTCATCAATCTGGGTCCAGACTTTATACCAGATAACTGGACAAATTGGCGACGCTCACATAAGTAGCTGGTAAACCAAGACAGAAAGTCTCCTGAGACACCCATTGCTTTAAATTTTTGCTGAAGAATTAAGTGATTCACAAAATCAAACGCTTTTCTGAAGTCAATAAAGAGGACCCCAAACTTCAATCCCGTGTCTAGGGCTTCCATCCAGGTTTCACGGTGAGGTAAAGCAAAAGGCCTTCAGTAGAATAGTTTTTACGGAAGCCCCATTGGTTATTACTTAAAAGGCCTTGAGATTCGATGGGATGGTCCAGAGAGCTGCTGACTACATCTTCCAAGATCTTTCCTGGTACGCTTAGGTAGGTTTACATTTATTTTGAGCCTTAACATAGACATTCCTCGATATAAGTTTACGATATTACGACTCTTCAATATTCTCCCATACATTTCTTTATATTTCGAACAAACGACCAGACACGCCGCTTACGTGGGCCCCTGTGGTTTCAGGTTCACGTTTTGAACGGCTGGACCACGCTCTAGAGGTAAGTGATTTACCGCAAGGTTTTTTTGCACCCAAAACATCAAAATCCCACGTTTGAGGGAAATACTACTTTTTAAAACTCTTTCCCTTATTAATTATCGAATTCTTTTTCTTAGAAACGTAATTTGGAAGACGATTTCTCAGCTAAAATAGAAGTGAAAGAATGAATGAAAACAAACATGGAGGCCGGCTATTTGTTGTTAAAACTGTTTACATACATTCATACATTCATACATTCATCCTTTATTTGGTAAAGCAGGTTGAGGAAATGGCAGCTAATGCTGATGTGAACCTGCTATCTACTAATAAACAGCTAAAAATATATACGTCTCCTAGTATGAATAATCATACGTATCAATAATACATTATATACACGGGTAGGATAAGTAAGTAAATATATATATAAATATCAGTATCAGTAAAATTAACTCAAACAATGCATTTAAAGGAAAGTAAATACAAAGATAAGATTTAAATTAAAAAATTTTAAATAAATAATAATTGTAATAATAATAATAATAAGATAACAAGATGGCAAGCTAGATATCAGTAGTACTTAAATTCGTCACTGATATTGTTGGTAGCAGTGGAGTTTGAGCCGAAATTAATTTGGTCAATGCATTTATAGAATTTCTTAATACTAGCCTTAAAAGAAGAGTAACTAGGCTTAGACTTTAACTGACTAGGTAGGCAATTCCAAACAATACTAGCGCGATGAGTGAAAGAATTGTGCAGAGCTTTGGATTTGGGACATTTACGAGCAAATCTAAATCTTTCGCCGGTCGGATTACTTTGAGGTTAAACAAAGCCAATTTCCGATGATATGTGAATGCATGAATGCTTTTTTTGTCTCCTTAATGGCTCTGTTCCGATGGTCAAGCATACAAAGCTGCTTCAAGAAATAAGAAATCGATATCTCCATTGCTCGACAACGAACCTTCAGAACTACTACCGTCCAGCTGCATAATGTCCAGCAGATCTTTTTAGTCTTGCCTAATTAAAAGAGGATCCGCAAAGATTTAGCGTTCTGCTCTCATTAAGTACAAAAACATTAATCCACAAATCACTTTCGGGCAGCAGCGATCTTGTTTTTGTACTAATTTCTCATAATTCATCAGTGCTATCACCCGCGAATCTTAAGTCCCAAATATGGGCAGACGGCTAACGTGAGGCCGCTAACGGCAAACCGCGGTTAGCCGTTTGCGGTAAGATGGCTAAACCTCGATCTTAAGGTCTCTAATAATATCATTTTTCGACATCGGGACAGCGGGAGCAATCCGTTCATAACAGTCAATAGCGGCAGGGTATTCTGAAGTTGCTCCCATCAACATCTCAAGCAATCTTTGATCAAATTTTTCTCATGTCCCACTCAGTCTCCTTTAGAACGAAGAATAACCATAGTGGTACATCGATCTCAACTCCGCCGCTTTCCCAACACGACTGATACGTTTCCTTAATTCGCGAACCGCTCTCACCGAGTTACGCGTTGATTCGCTGAAATTTGAAGACCTGTCAAACCACCAATTAACAAGAGCGCTCTGATTGGTGCGACATCGAAAAATACTACAACCTGATTGGTTTATGATACACCGAAGAATTACGTCAATCACATTGCTTTGAGATACACCGAAAAAAGATGCCCCAATCAGATTGCTTAGAGATACACCAAATTGCGTTGATCAGATTACACTACACCAAAATACACCAATCTATACGCTAACAAATAGTTATTTAACAAAAAAAAAAAACTCAAAAAGTTACACACCGTCAGCTAAAGGCCTAACACGAATTTAGCACCAGAGCGTGTTGTTTTGGAAGGGCTAGTTTTGCTGACTCTGGTTAAACTTGCGCAACTTCATTTGCATAAATTATATTTGATTGATGATCTTATTTTTTGTCCTGTGGCTGCTCTTTTTGTAAGGGTTGAAGAGACCACTGATTTATATTTCCTTTCTGCGTCGACTGCCATGTTAAATACCCGTTTCTTTGTTTCTAAAAGTTCTCCGTGAATTAAATATTGTTTAAACGATACTTTCCCGCTACAATTGCGTGTTTACTTTTTACTCGCCAGTATGGACTAGACTCTCTCAGATGAAATGCCATTTTCCAGTAAACAACGTAAATTTTATGACATAATTCTGCCTCAATGAAAAATATTTCACAAGGAACGTAATGGTACAGTCGATCAATTCTCCACGCAACTCTCACGTGCTTAGACCTTTTTTACCGATAAAATTCGCTTTTAGCTACCTTGGACTTTACCCCACTGCGTGTCAACTCCCTGTAAACAACCTGCATTTCATCACGTATTTCGCACGCACAGGGCAACGTCTAGATAGGCAACAACCAGTTGAGAAGCCCACGTTGTTATGCTTTGATAAATGATACTTTTTTTCCTCGTTCAGTCCATTTTCACTTGTTCGAAGAACAGAGACCGGAAAACGTCTTTGTGTAACGGCTGCTGATAAAATAGAGCTTTTCACTGCAAAATTATATGGAAGAATATTTTGAGGCAACTATCTGTTGCTGAACAAGAGGCTAGAGGCTACACGGAGCCTATATTCTGGCCGGATTTGCGGTTCAGCGGATTGAATTGAATTGGTTAGAATTGAAGGCGCTGCTGTTTTAGAAAAATCATTGTCGAGTGCTTTTCATGGTCAACATGGAGAGTTATAGCCTGCAAAGCAAGCCCTGGGGGAGTATGGCGTCCCAGCGGGGCCAAAATTCAACAGTGCGATTTGACATTGTACTTTTAGTATTCTTCCTTATTTCTCGATTGGACATTCAAGTTTTTATTCCTTATGAAACTTTTTCCGATTCAACATTGTCTTTTTTTACAATTAAACTTCCAAGTTTCCATTATTAAACATTGTACTTCTCGTAATTCCACTTCGTAGTTGTGGCAATGCAATATGGTAGTACTTCATCCTCATCAAAGATGTCTAAAATGGCCACAAAATCATCGCCAAACAAAATTAGATCCTCTCCACCATCCTTGAACGTGTGTTTAGTTTGTGCACCATCACGGTCACGTGACAGGTACTTTCAACATCAGCAACAGAACAGCGACAGCTCTATAGTCTCCCTCTTTGATGCTCGCCGACTTTCGTAACCAGTCCCCTCTACTAACTGTGATGTAGATAAATTCAAATTGAATTGATGTACTTTGTTTTATTTCAAATAGGCTCAATATGTGTGGGAACCTTGTTCACTTCTGACCGTCTCCTGAGTTTTGATTTTGATATAGACTTGAAGGTTTTGATCATGGTATGATTGTGTACGTGATCTAGCAAGTGATCGCATCCGGAGGTTGACCCTAAAGTCATGGACATAATCCCAAAGTTGTCAACTAGTATTCGGTGTAAATTTAGTAACTAGAATTTCCTCCTTTGTAATCTTACCCCAAATTCCGCTTTGCGAATAGGTTAGTTTTCTGGAAGGCAGGCTTACAGGAGAGGCTACCTCACTGCGAAGGCAGCCAAGACACTGCAACAGAATTAGATTTACCAGCCTCGATCCAAAAATGGACGACACAGTTTCAATTTTATTAGTGTTCCTTCTCTCTGTGGCTTTTAGTCCTTCCCCAGCATATTCAGGTATGTATCACGGAGAAAGCTTTTAAGGGGGAAAATGAAAATGGGCTGAACGGAAATATTATGATGCGTAGAAGCGTCAGTAAATGTCGGAGCGAGGCTTTGTGGTATGGTTACTAAATCAGAGAACATTTCCCATACTAGTGATTTTACTTAGGATCAGTTACAAAGCCGTAGTTTAATGTGTTAAGAAGAAGCTTTAGCACAATGGGAAATAAATGTTTGAGATGAAGAGATCATGCCAGTTGTAAGGTTTTGATTTTCTATTTCCGATTTTCACTTTTCACTTTCACCACCACAAAAACCATTCAACTAGTTAAGTCAACAGCCTCGCACTAATATTCAGGTCTGAGTGATGTTTCGTGCGGGAGATATTTGAAGAAGTGTTTGACTCAAATTTATATGGCTTTGTATGTCAGAATTTAAGCGATTTGGTAGATTTTGCGTTGACTATTACTCTGACTGTATAAGAAGTAAAGTAAAGTATATACACTAAAGTAACAGTCAACACAAAATCTACCAAATCGCTCAAATTCGCCATTTAGAACCACAGAAATGACAATACACGGCAAGTGAGGTAGGTTTACATTTATTTTGAGCCTTGACATAGACATTCCTTGATATAAGTTTACGATATTACGACAAGACTAAACACCATTATATCCCCAAACCACAATTTTGGAGGTTTAGGGTCTTCAGTGACGATCTCTCTCTATTTTCAGATTTAACGATAGATCTCAAGACAACGGAATCCAGTAAGTAGCTGTAATTTTTTATGATTGTTTTGGGTAACTAACGGATGAAAGTTCATCGAAAGAAGGTGTGGTTATTGCACTGGGCCAAACGCATAACCCTCTTGTGAAAAGAGGCAATGAATACCAACAAATAGGAGTGAGGCATAAGCGAATAGATATACGAAAAAAAAGTGACCCTTCGTTAACACCATTAGTCGAAACTAAAATCAAACGCCCGATTTGAGCACTGATGGAACAGAGCAGGAGTCATACTTGTAACTGGACAGTGTAATAAGGAAGTTATCGCGTTACAAGTGCGCACAATGCTGTCTCGCACCTCTTAGGGCTAATTGTTCTTTCTAATATAACCGATGGCTAGTTTGTT